AAATATGTTTTAAACAAATTTTGCATGTGTATTAAAAGTAAGTAATATGACTGGACTTCGTGTGATGATGGAGTAAGAATGGAATGTCAAAAAGAATGAGCTTCTCAATTCGGTTGTATTTTTTCATTTTTTTATGTTTGTTACCTCATAACTTCGTCAATTTTAAACTGATTTACAAATTCTTTTTTATCTGAAAGGCTATACTTACAAATTGGTGCCATGGAAATTTTATCAAAAAATGTTTGTTGTTTTTTTATGGGACACAATTTTTAATCATCATAAGAAGCGAATATAATAAGAAGAAAAGGAACAATCTACAATATGCCAATGCAAGAGGAGTGTAATATGAAATATACACTTTACCAAGCCACCTAATATAGTATGACATTATCTTTTAGTGAGAAATAGTAGCACTCTAATGGGTTATAAGAAGATTAAAAGTATATATTAAAAATTAATAGAACTATAAAAAAAATAATTTGATAATTGTACAGAAATTTAGCATAATAACATAACACTCGTTGACCATGAAGACAGGCATCATTTTGAAATAGATTCGAAATAATTGCCATATTAGATACTTGATTTTATAATTGATTCACCTATGCATAGGTATATGTAATTAAACACACTATTTCTATTATGGCCACAAAATATTTGCGAAATATTGTTCTTAATTGTGGTACAACTGTTTCGAAACGTGAATTTAAATACGTATACAGTTATACCTATCATCTTAACACGTCAATCTCGATGATATACTTATTAAATATGATGTGATTGTAAGTATATACAAGCGAGGTCTTAATTTTATTTTATACCTATAAATAATTAATAGTTTTTACACACCAAAATACAATACTGTTATTAGCATCTTATCCCTTGCTAATTATGTAACTCAAATACCTGTTGAATTAGTAGTGTACATGACAAAGTCAACTATTGTTATGTAGTTTTGTTACTCGTAGAATTAAGACGAATCTGTATTGTATTTGAAGTTGGATTGTACTATATGGAAAATCTATAAAAGAAACGAGAATTAAAGTACTTCCATGTTGTGCCAAAGTTCAAGTTACACTTATAAAGATATACTCAAAAAAGTCGATTAAAAATGTTAGACAGACAATAGAATATATTTGATACATACCTTTATTTTCTGTATTCAACATTAAGTCTGGAAAAATGAATATATGTGTAGTGATATTTAGGTATTGCTAAAAATAATTTTGAACATAATCATTTTCAAGATTCAATATCATAAATATCCTTACTAATATGAGTATTATAAATATGAAAGTGAGTTAAAGCCAGTTACAGTATAATATAAATAATTAGGGATTTAAAGCTCCCGTCCTTTACGTCTGAAAAGTATTTCAATAACATGCATATATTAAATCCAAATATAAATATTTAAGACTATATAATATTATTATGTCGATTGTAATATTAAAATATTAAGATGTTCTTACGAATTCTTATACTTATGTAAACATCTAGACACTGTGAACCTTGCCTTTGGCCTTTCCGAATTTACACTACTTCGACTTATTTTGTCGGTGCCATATATTTTTATATTTACCCAACTATCAAAGAAAGAAGTGTATTGTTTTTTGGGTGTACCTGTATGTTGTATGTGTGTTATATTTGGTATTTATATTTTTTAAGTTATTTATGTTAAAGAAAAATATTACAGCGTTTTCTAATTAAAAAAAAAAAAACAATAGTAATTAATTTTAATTGTGTACTAAAAAAATAAGTATATCTTTATTCTAACCTTGTATATTACATAAAAAGGTTAAAAAATCAAAAGTTGTTTGCATTGCATTGTGTATGTTTCGACAACTGACTTTATTGGTCATTTATCATGATATGATCTAGAACAGATTTACTCATTTCTTTTTATAAATTATATCTTTAAAATAAACATATTAAATATTACTGTAATATCATAGTTTGATTGTGTAACGGTATAATCCGCAACCATCGGAATGTATCGATGGTCGCGAGTTCGATATCCGTGCAAGACATACATATATACATTTGTATTCATGAATTCCTCTGTTTATATTGGTTTGGAGATTTTCTGTGTGTTCATGTATTATGTTTGCATTGACACAAAAGTATTTATGTTACAAGCTCTGCTTAGTTTAGGACGAGATCGCAATTTATAAATTGGGTTATTGTTTAATGGATTATAAAATTTTGTTGAAATTCGTTTAGCCATTTTATTGTGAAATAAACAAATAATAATCCGAAAATTGAGTGATAAATAAATAGCTAGAAAAGGTAAAGAAACTGCATCCTTCCCAATTAATTATCCAATTATTAATTATAATTTAATGTAGACATTTTTTTATTTTAGTTGTATATATTTTGGATAGAACTTACATCGATAAAAGAGCGCAAACTAAGTATAATTATTTAGATATAAAGATAAAAACTGTACCCTTCCTAATTAATTATTACAAGATAACTCAATGTAGATAATTTTTAATAATAGTTATACACATTTTGGACAGAATTTACATCGACGAATGAATGAAAACTAAGTTTATTAGGTATATTTGGGGTTGGCGTAATATGTTTTTCTCTTCCATTTTTTTCTAGTTTATTAAACTTTTTTTATGATTAACTTATATTTATTTATTTACACATGATCACAATTGCAATATATTTATAATTATTTTATAAATATATTGCACAGATATCTTTTGAGTCAGATATGAACGGGATAAAAATAATTATTAAATATAACAATACAGTTTATTATACAAACAGTTTTCGCTGTATTTGAAAATAAATTTTACGAATCCTATTGGATCGAATCATCGGTAAATTTTTCAACCTATTATTTAACTCGGTAATTACATTTTGATGCAAAGGCCAACACGATACAAGTATGCTGATGGATTATTGCACGAGGTTTTTGTAAAAAGTATCTCATGGACTAGACTTGATTAATTTATTGTTTTATTGAGCATAGATGTGGAAAAATGTATATAAAAGATACACTTTTGAAATTACTATTTATAGTAAAATATTTAATGAGATCTAGCGAGGGGTCAGCGCAGTGAAAGTGGTTATAGCAAGCGAACTTTCGTTATCTGTGCAACTACCGGGAGGCATTATTGCGAGCAAGCCCAGATCGTGCTTATTGAAGGACCATCAATAGACATTTGCACGATTTGGAAATTGAAGTCAGAAGTCAATTTGAAAGGTTTCACCAAACCTTCTAAAGAATTGAAGAAATATTATGAAAGGTTGTAAAGATGTTTGTCACGTTAAAATCGCTGAACGAATTTGAATTATTGATACACAACTTTGGTATTCTAAATTAATATAAATAATATTTATTTTAATTTTTATTCACATAGGAAAAATCACATGTTGGAGCTAGTTGCAAATATAATTATTTAATTGGAAGCATAGTACCCAATTTGTAGAATTATAGTATTATAAATAAATTTAAAATTATAAATTAAATTTACGGTCTTTTAATCTTACACTTGAATAATTTTTTCGTCTCCCCAGAAAAAATTAACATTATCAAGCATTTTGCAAATAATCCTTCATTAAAGTAATAATATAATACAATAAAAGTAATTTGTAAAGAATTGAGTTTTAACACGGTATTAAAGATTCAAGAGAGCAAGGTACGAAGTGTTCGTGGTATGGACCCCTGTAAGTTCGAATACCAGTTCTTGTTTAATAGCCAGGTTTATACGACTATATATATCTTGTGTCTAAAAATAAACATACGCTTTGTTTAAGTATACTTATATATTGTACCGTAGACTATATAACAGGGATAGTTAAGGTTTAAAGCAGCTGTTATTATCTTTAGTTCTTAGTAGGGTATCCATTAAGAAAGGGTTTTTAGGTTTGTGTAATGATAATTAATGATTCTGTCTTACAAAAAAACCGATTTTAATTGCGACGAAACCAGTTATTTTAATTAAATACATTAACTATTAAACTACTGAACCAATTTTGATAAAATTACTATGAGAACAATGTGTAAGTATATCTTTTTAATTTAAACTTTATTTTTTTAGTTTTTTATATTTGAAGTCTATTAATCTCATTTACATAAATATCCGTGTATCGCCGTGTAGGTCCCGGCACAGAATGGGCCCCCCCTTCCTTTCCCGTGGGTATCGTAAGAGGCGACTAAGGAAGGGCGAGGGATGGGCAGCAACGTCCCTCTTAAAACATTTCCAAAGCCTAACTGCGGTTGTCAATCCGCTTGCTAAGCGTGGCAACTACTGGCAAAACCCCCCTTGGTTAAAGACTGATATTATGATATAAACATATATGATAATAATATGAAAGCCATAAACATAAACAAAATTGCGTCCAAAATTAGTTCAGATATGTATCTAGTCAGAATAAGTACATACTTATATAATGTACATTGATAGATGCGTAATCAAATAATAAAAATCAATGAAGTATAAAACAATATAGCATATGCAACATAAATCTCAACCATTCACTAGGTGCAGTAGTGCACATAATAACTGTGGGAACTTGCCGTCTATTAATCTTTATTGTTCATTATTTAAAAAAAATATTTTCTTTTTATTGGTATATCGTAACTTATGCAATTCATTTACTTATTCTTTTTTGATTACTTTACAAGAAAATTTTAGTACAAATTATTTGTACAAAAATACAATGTTTTATTTTCTGTGTTTGTTGTATTTTTTATATGTTTATTTAATTGAATCTCTAACTCACTACAGGAAGGAGGAGAGTTTTAAATGAGAATGTAATTTTTGTGTATGTTATGCAATATATTCTCAATAACAATATATTTTTTCTTTATATATCAATCTGGACCTGATAATAATGAAATCATTGGCAAGGATCATTGCAAAACATTTCGTGTAAAAGATTTAAACGCGTACCGTGATTATTGTTAGATTGAAACAACTATATGGTATGTTTATATCACATTTGTTACTGTCATTCACACCACTATTATTTTTAATTTCCAGGAAAAGCTGGTGTTGACTATCCGGTTCTGGGAGCTGTTCCGTATACAAACTTTTACTGCGATGAACAACCTTATCCAGGCTTTTTCGCCGATATGGAAACCAGGTGCCAAGGTATTTTTTAATTTAAAAATCTTTAATGATAATAATGATGATGATGAAAGATGATGAAGTAAGAAAAGGATGTTATGACTCTTCTTTATCTAAAGAAGTCGTAAGAGACCACTAAAGGAATAAAGTAAGCAAATTCGAACTCCAAATAAAATTCAAATAAAAATGTGGTAACCATCATCATCATCATCATATCGTTCATTAACTGTCCATTAACTTGTCCAACATAGGCCTTCCCCGTCTAAGGGGGATTTGTCAGTAGTTGCCACGCTTGGCAGGCCGGTTAGCAATTGCAATAACTTTTGGTAATGTTTTAAGAGGGACACTGCTGCCCGTCCTTCGACCATTAAGTATCCTTAGTCGCCTCTTACGGCACATGTGGTTTTTGACTAATATTCGCCTATTACGCGGAGTATCTCGTGCAGGCAGTGGGATTGTTACGTTTATATTTAAGTAATTGTAATCCCAGATGGATAGTCAAAAGACATCTGTGGACTGTTCCTGATGACGAACGTAACATTTAGCATGATCACATTTCGCTCATCCTAATGTTGAATTTTATTCTATTTAGATTTTTTGAGAGTTAACAAAAATTAAGAAAATTAATTTAATTTAAGACAAAGTTCTTGTAGTCAACAAGATTCGAACTCATTACTTTTAGAGTGAGTTGAAATTAGTACAGGAGTAGATTACAAAGTTTTCATATAAAAATAAATTATTTAGTTTCGCCATAGAAAAAGTATAAACTAATCTTTTTTTTTTATCTATGGTTTCACTTTCATATTGCAATCGAGATGTATTATCTCGCATACTCTTGCAACTGTCTGTACGTTTATACTAGTATATTGCTAAACAACATTTATAAAAAGCTTAACCCAATTCATTTAATGTTCTTACGTAGGCACTAATATATTAGAACCATGCCTGTCAGATAGGTGCCATTTTTCGAGGCGAGCGTGGGTAGCCGATTCGATTCTATTGTCTATAGATTATTCGTGGCCTTGGCCGTGTCGAGATGATTAACAAAGGTGACCTTATAGCTGCATGAGGTCAGCTAATTATAACAAAAAGACACCCGGAAGATCATCCTTACATAAAATGCTAGTTCGAACGTGAGATCCGCTTAGATTGATTAAATTTGCTTTACTCTTTACAAGCTGTACCCGCGACTGTCTAATATTAGTTGTCTTAGACCAGGGATGGTCGCACAGTGCGGTTTTAGAGGAGCTTTTTCCCGAGGACACTCAGGTTACGGATTGATCTTTCTGCCGAGGCTTCCCTAGAGATTACAGCATGGGGTTCTTCAAAAAGGGCGTATTAAGTTTTCTGAAGGGTCGTCCGGTACCACATACATGCCTGTGCTACATAGTATGCCTGTGTATTACCTTAGTAGTATAAAAAAATCTAAGTTAAATAGCTATTAGATACTAAACACTATTTAGAGGATATTTTTGTAGAGACTCATATTCAATTTATCAAAGAGTTCTCTGTTAAATGCGATAAATTGTATGAAACAATTAAACCACTTTGGATACGTTTAGCCGATTTTGATAAGTATGTACAAATTATTCTATACCTAACCAATTATAAAATTTCGTAGGAATCCGTTAGAGAATTTTGTTGTCAGTGTAATAAAAGTTATTGCTTATATCGGTTGTAGCCTCTGCAGCTTATTTTCCTGAAAAATATATCTGCAGAGGTTTAAGAAAAAACACACACGATTTTACTGCAGTTTTATTTATGCTGAACATTAGCGATGCAGGAAAAACCTAGTCCAAATTAATAATACATAGCAGTGAATTAATTATCTAATCAGTATTTTTATAGAGGTTCATAACTAGAAAAAATTTGTCAAACATGTTTAGTTTCTTTTTATATAAAAAACATAAGTTGATAGGTAGGATCAATAAAATTAATGTTTTGACAAAGAAGACAGCATAACAGACGATGCGGAATGAATTAGTTTGGAAACCGAATGTATATTTTAAATTTGCATATTATTATATCACAGAAGATATGTATAATTATGTTGTTTATGGAAATAAGTAATCAATGATAAAGCACGTTTAATTACGTATGTATAATATATCTATTAGGCTGTTGGTAGTTAGTTAGTTCCAGTTTTTTTTTTATATAATAATAATAAATATACAGGATACAAGTTTATAAACTTAGAGCGTTCGCTAAATACCTTACAGTGTAACATATATATTAAAAATGTTTAAAAATTATAATTATTTAATATATCTAAAAATTTGGTTAGTAAAAAAATTGTATTTGAATCATAAGTATTTTGTAGTGCCTAATTATGATATAGCTTTACTTTTTAATATTCTTTATTTTCTTAACAGATGATATAAAAATAATTTTATAAAATGTTTAAAGGATTAAATTCTAAATTAGTCGCTAAAACACAATAATTGTGAACGTACAGTTAAAAAATATTTTAATGTATTTCTCCTTTAAAATGTTGTATAGTTTAAGAATATGAAAATGACTTAAAAATACAGCAAGTAAGTTTTGTACCTGGAAAAAAGCCCGTTTTTAAATAATAATAATAATACCACAAGTAAACACATTCTCGTTTTTGCATAATCTTCCAATGACTCTTTGTTATTGATATCCAGTTACCAGAACTTTACGAATATTCTATGAACATTTAATATTAAAAATGCTTATAGAAGCTTCTATATTATATTGCGATCTATACATTTTTATATGTATACATACATGATTTGTATTTTTCTTGTAATCTAACACCATGTTTAAAAATGAAATAATAAGTAGGTACGCTATACGTATTAAAAACAAGATAATTGCTTGTTCGTGGATTAACCTCGTCTGACTTATGTTACTAAAATGTGACATATAGATCTCCTTGAATTTAATTTATTATGACGTAATTATATACATAAATATTTATTGATGGCAGAGTTTTGTGTAATTAAAAAGCCTAAATATGTATTTATTTATTTAGGTAGACTACACAAAATTGTGCTAAACAAAACTATATTATAAGTAGGTATAACTTAAAACAATAATATTAATGAAGAATAAAGTAATGGAATATCAGATAATAATATTATGAAAATAATAATATTATCACACATTAATATTTTTATTTTTATTGACGTTAGTGTTAAATAAATAAATGTCATAAAAAAATACTATTCCTAAAATGTACTCAGGAAAATGTACGTATAAAAAAGTTTTAATGAGTATTAGTGGTAGATAATTATATGGTTATTTAATCATATTTTTTTTTATATTGGCCGTTAACTGTCTACTGCTTAACGTATAATAACTCCGTAAGGGGGGTTTTGCCAGTAGTTGCTACGCTTGGTTGGCGACCATAGTTTGGTTTTTAGTGATGTTTTATATTTGGAAACTTCTGCTCATTTCTCGATCATAAGCTTCTTTAGTTGCCTCTTACGACATCTACAGGAAAGGAAGGGGTGGCCTTTACTATGCCGGGACCTACATGGCTCTATCTTATAATATATGTGATTTAAATAGAAATATTTGCAAATTGCTGTCATGTTTATATATCATTATGTAGCCTATAGCATTCCTATAATGAATAAGAATTTAACTAAATCAAACTTATAAAGCTGTATCGTACTATGTTTGAAAAGATGTACCTAATACTTACGACATATTTAATAAATTAAGCTATTTTTTCAGCTTGGCATTACTGTGACATTGATGGGCGTCAGGCATCATTCCTTTGTCCCAACGGGACGGTGTTTTCGCAAGGCGTCGCGTCGTGCGATTGGTGGTTCAATGTGCGATGTGCTTTATCTCCTGCTTTGTACCCCCTCAACGCACGTCTTTACAGACGCAGAAAGAAGCAGTCAAGGCCCAAACCACATCGTTTGATAGATAAACAACTTGTCGACGAGATATTTTTGTAAATAGATATAACGTAATAATAATATTTTAAATCAGGAAAATTGTAAATATAGTTTGTTAAAACCGTAACAGGTTTGCATGGCCCTTTAAATTTTTATACTATTATGTTAATTATAATAGTCCTTATTAATATGTTAAATAACGTAAATGTGTAATTTGTCTTTGACTTCCTTGCTACTATTTGTAAAGATCCAATAAATAGTACATTTAAATCAAAATTTACAACTTTTCGTTAGCCGATAGTCTTGTTTTATTATTAAAAATTTGTATGAAATAGATAAAATATATAATTAATATTGTGTTCCATAAAAAAAAAAAAACCCGACTTCAGTTGTGGCAGACACTTGAGATATTTTAATTGGTGGTATTTTAATTTAAAAACTAAATAGATTTTGATATTTATATAGGACCAATTTGTAAATATATTCTTTCATATAAAAAAAAAATTTCCAAATCACTTAATAATTGATGGTATTATGAGGTAACAAACGTAAAAAATATACCAAAATTGAGAACCTCCTCCTTTTTAAAATCGTTAAGTTTGTATAGAGAATGTGGCCATATCTGTCATGTATTTAAGTTTTTAATGCTTAGAATTAATTTAAATAAATTGAACAGTATCTTTCTTTTATTTGATTTTATATTTTTCTTTACTGTCGTTTACTTCATGTCAATATTATAAAAATAAACTTATATGTGCAACTTATTATTTGGGCAATATCGTATCTAATTTTGTATAGAAATATGGATTGTTATGATTATCAATTCAATTGATTAATCAGAATAAATCTAATTAGTCTGTAAGTAAACTGAATTTTTTTTTAATGGATGATAATGGAATGGCAACTCTACCCGCGCTATAGGTATACACCGGCGGGGCACCAGTGAAGGAGGATAGGTGAGGATGAAGTAGGTCAGTTAGCCCATCGTAACAAATTCCACAAGAATTGTTCACGATGGTTTCCAGGGAGAACCACGTGGAGGTGGACCTAATAAGCCATAATATTGCTAGCAATGGGGCTGTCAAACTCTAATGCTAACAATCCCTTTCCCCCCAGTAAACTGAATATTTTAACAAAGCAGTTTTTTTTGGATGACCATTGTACAGGTCATGTTTATAGGCGATGGGTACTATTTTTCATTAGATGGCGCTCTAGCGGGTTTGTTATTTCAAGTAGCAAAAAATAGGCCTTGGGCAGTGCCAATGATTTTTTTAAAAATTTTTTTTTGGAAATTTCTTTTTTATTGCATATATATATATATGTCATGTCAGATGCCCTCGTTTACTACGACTATGACCGAGTCTTCTTAGCCTCCTAGGAGGGCTTAGAAGTGAACTTCGCGGCGAGCCCCTTCGTCCCAAAAATATCACCGAGGGCAACTATTTCCAGGTTTCTGCCTTCATCGTTTTTCTTAGTTGGATTCTTTAATTTCTCGGGTTTCTATAGAACAGTTTGGTTCTTCCTTTCTTTGCTTGATTAAACTATTATTTTTTAATAAATAAAAATATTGATCGGGCTATTTAAAATTAATTGTGACATTTGTTTTTTCTTTCTGTTAATTCTTTGTTTTATATGAAGCCTTTCCTTCACGGCTATTAGTATAATAGGTAACATAAAAATAAATACAAATTAAAAGCCGCCGTTAGAACTGCAGCTGCTTTTCCCTCTGGTCGGGAGACTGAGTACACAAACGGAAGATAACATCACTCTTCGCTCGCACTCAGGAGATTCTTAGGGTTTTTTTTTAATGTGTGATAATGGAATGGTAACCCCGCCTACGCTATCAGTATATACTGGTACCCACCAGTGATAGATGGTAGTCGAGGATGAAAGCAGGTCAGTCGGCCTATCTGAAGAATTCGACAAGAATTGACCACGATGATTTTCAGGGGGAACCGTGTGTGCGATTGACCTGATGAGAGTATGTTGCTAGTAATGAGGTTGTTAGAATCCATTATTAACAAAGCCTTTTCCCTTGATTTCTGAGGGTGGCGCGACCGTCTGGTGGAGTCCACGTATAGCGCGGAGGCAGTACTCTTAGGTTGGAAAGTGCGGGTCATTGCGGCACAGACGAACATTTTAGTTGCCATGTCTCGAACCGACCGAAGGGACCCTGAGATCGTGAGCGATCACATTGTTACGGACGTATCTTGACGCTCCCATGCAGAGGAGAAAAGTGGTATTCTACTGAGCGTGCAACCGGCGTCAGTGTTGGAGAGAACTGTGCGTACCAAATATTTGTGTAAGTTAGCTGTAAGCGAAAGTATATTTTAAGATATCTTAGTTCGCAGCGGCAGCCTAGAAGTGAGTGCCGATCAGAGGAAGGTGCGCGCCGCGTGAGCTTGCAAGACGATTTGTGTAAACTGCGACACCATCCTTAGTGACCAGTCGATAATCGGCCCCAGAGGTATCGCACGGTGCTTTCCCGTGCGACCTCTTGATTTCGTGTACTACGAAGACGATCTGAAAATTTTCGATATCAGAGTGTGACATCCCGTTACACTAGTAATAATAGTGCTAAAGTACACTATATAAGAATCTTGTACTAAATTTAATATTTTTTAATCATATTGAATCATATCCAAAGCTTGCTGTCATAAACAATGATAAACTTTCGCTACTTAAGTGGAAGATGGTACGAGCTATTTTAGTTCACCCAGGTAGACGCGTCGGCCCAGCTACTGATACTCTGAGGAAAAAGATGGTTAAAAGTTTTCGGCACTTGGGGCCAAAAAATTTTTTTGTTTATGTTTTTTGAAAAGCCATATGTTTTACTTCTTTATCTATTTTATTTTATTTTTTTGATCATTGCATCGTAAATTTTATTTTCTAAATATGTGGAAGCCAACGTTCTAAGACGAAGGTCTTTAACCAGTGCGTGTTGCCAGTGATGACTTATGGAACCGAAACATTGTCTTACACGATTGCCCGTATGCAAAAGCTTCAAATTAGTAGGTTATGGAGAGGGCTTGCAGTCACTTTGTGTGATAGAATCTGAAACGAAGATATCCGCAAAAGAACTAATGTAGCCGACATAGCTCGAAGGATAAATATGCTGAAGTGGCAATGGGGTGGTCACATAGCTCGAAGAACCGATAACCGATGGGGAAGAAAGGTTCTTGGGTGGCGATCCCGTATGGCAAATGCAGTATAGGACGAACCCCAATACATGGAATGACGACCTGAAATGCATTGCAGGGAGTCAGAGGACGTACCTGCATCCTCTGACTCCCTGCAATGCATTTCAGGAACCACCTGCAACTGCATGCAACCACCTGGTTCAGGACTGTTTTTTATGGCAGTCTATGGGGGAGTCTTATGTCCAGTATTGGACGAATAATGTCTGAAATGATGTTGAAAGTTCTAAGGCAATTACTTCTTACATATATAGCATACCTAAATATTTAGCAGAAGATTACTATACTTCCTAACATAATCTTTCGGGATCCACATTATTTATACTTTTAAAATAATAACGACCTCGTTTACCAAACTTAGTTACAACCAGCTTCTATGTATTTTAAAATCTTATTAATGCAATAAATTCGATAGTTTGTAACGTTGAATGGATGAATGTTTGTAATGCTTTCATACATAAACTAGTGAATGAATTTAAATGAAACTGGGTACTCACATGAGTTATAACCTAACTTAGCACGTAGATATTGATTCATGTAGGTGGAGCTGCGAAGCTAATCTTAAATAAATCATTCTGAAAAACGTATTGTCATAAGAGTTATCATGGAGGAGAATATCTACCTAGATAGGAATATTTTGCAGAACTAATTGAAGAAATGTTGGACATAGTGCTAAAGGGACTACATATGTATTTCAATATATATATAGAGGCTAAGAACTTTCCACTTTGCTGCAGCTAATGCAGTTGTGTCTCACTGTACTTATTTAGGTTTAGTTCATTAGCTTTATTTTTTCTTGAAGAAAAATTGCTATCCTAATTACGAGTTTACTTGTTTACTGTTTACTAATTGCCTATACACACTGGTTATATACACTTGATCAGGATAGTTGTCACTGTCTTATCTATTTGTAAAGAAGCAATGCGTATGGTATACCTTGCAGTGTTTCGCTCTGAAGTATAAGGGCATAATAGATAGCTTAGTCCCTTGTTGTAGGAATAAATATCATAACGCATCCTAATATTCAAATAAACAAAGCTTAGACAAGTGATATCCATATTTCAATAGTATTATTTTGTAAATACATACATATTATACATAGGAAACATCCAGACTAATACAAACAGAGATCTCATACATAATGTCTCTAATATGAAGATGATGGTGAATATAAGTAACTACAGAATTGCTCTTCATTTTTCATGAGGCGCTTGATGATAAAAGAATTTAGGCAGATATTAAAGTACCTAGTAAATTATATTAAGCTTTGTAAATATTATTATTATTAATCATTGTTGTTGATGTTTGGTTGATAAAATATTGTTTAATACATATCCTTTTTAATTCGTCTACTTTATATTGTAGTAATTGTTTTATGTATATAAAAATATTAATTTACGATATATATTTCAGAATAATTACTCGATTTTTTATGCAACTTAGAATGGGAAACAAGCTGATGGTGCATTGAAGGAAAATGGTAACCATCTTGCACAAGTACTAGTATAGTATAATATAACATAATTTGTGGGGGAAAAGGGATTGTTAGTAATGGAGACTGAGAATCCCATTGCTAGTAATATACCCAACCAAGTCGACCTCCTCGCGGTTCCCCCTGGAAACTATCATGGTTAATTCCTGATGAATTCATCATGATAGGCTAACTGGCCTGTTTTCATTCTCATCTATCACCCTTCACTGGTGCTCCGCCAGCGTATCCCGTTAGCGCAGGCGGGGTTACCATTCCATTTTCACTCATTAAAAAAAATATATATTATCTGTGGTACGGGTAGATGAATAAAAAGATAAATTAGTACTTTATACATATATTTTAGTATTTTATATTAGTTTTAATAGGTATATTATGGTACTTTTGGTTACATTACTGTAATTTTCGCAAGGATTACTATTTCTTTTAAAATTACTCCCTGTAAATGTAGCTTTGCGTAGAAGATATTTTTTTAAATGAGTTGAGTAGTTTTTACGTTTACTCATTATAAACATACAAAGAATCTTTTTTCATTATAATCTTGGTATAGATATAGATGATATAAGATAACAGAAGAGTTAAGGTGAATATTTTTAAACAAACATTCGCACTTAATTTATTTTACTTTATTGTACACAAAAATTACATAGTTATAGTAAAAATAAATGAAAATGTACAACAAGCGTCTCTTCCAGCAAACCTTGAGTGGAAAGGAGCATTACCTACTTATATGTCAATCTGCGGTATTATCTGTTGAAAGATCCAGCAAAATTTTCAGTGCAAAACCTTGGGAAAATGAGGGCAAAAAACACTACTGTCTGCTAATTATTCATAAAAAAAAATGTACATACAAACATTAACAAGTTGCCTGTTAACAATGCCGATTCATAGCATAGGTCGTCGATATCAATTGCCTACTATGTGTTTACAGCAACCGTGAGAAAATATACTACGTGATTCTTTTTCGCCGTATATTGTATGCAAATAGCGTATATTCGGAAACACATACGGTGAACGTTTCCCTGACGAAAATTGGCTGTATGCAGCGGCTGCGACGGCCCATTGTCACTTCTTACGCGACGCGCGCCAAACGCACGCGCAAGTTTAAACGTCGAACGCGACGCGCGACGTCCCGCTGTTAAGATCACGTGGTAATCAATGTACTGCAGTGTTACGTGATAAAAACAGTTGTTTTGAATGGACCGTTTTCAGGTTTCAATAAAATTTTGCTTTTCATTAATGTAAATTGTATTGGAGAACAAAATGAAGTTTTTGACACTAATCTTATGTGGTAAGTATATTGGAATGATATGTTTTTGTAATTGTAGTTGTATGGGAAAATCAGTTCGATATATTTGGATGAGTTATGTATTTGTTATTATTAAATTTTAAAATTATGTTATAAATCTATTTGAATGTTCTTTTATTATGAATATAAATGTAGTAAGTACATTCAGGAAGGCGAGACCATATAGTAAAATATAATTGCAGCAATCTCTAATTGCTACTTTGTGCGACTACGAATTGAGATTTATACCAATAGATAATTGTATGAACCAATCATTTACTATATTTTATGGCAGTGTTTACACACTTTTTATGTACAGATACTCGGTATTGTAATTACTTTCAATTACAAAAGCAATTACAATAAATATATAAAGTCCATTAGTGTTATGTATGCCAAAGTATAGTTTAGTATATTATAGACGTTTATAAATTAATTTGTGAAATTATAAGAAATTCAATATGTTGCAATATATTAGAAACTTTATTGTTGATTAGCTGTCTCTTGCGGCTTTAGCCATATGAGTACAAGTAAGTAAAATATTCTATTTTTAAACTAAGATATCATATACTTGTGTATACAATTTTATTCTATTCCGTTCACCCGTTTTAGCGTGATTGAGCAATAAAGATACAACCGTTACATAATATTAATAACATTAATATTCAATATTCTGTGTTCACAAAACTGTGTTTTACTATACTTTATTTGGCGGCCTTACGCCAATTATGATGCCGAAAAGGTTGTTAATGTTAGAAATAAGATCATGCTCAATGCCAATGTCTTCGTTAAAAAACCAACAGTGGTTTATAATAGGTGCTTACATATAACAAACACAATAGCAGGGCTACGTGGTTTGTGGTTGTCGCGTAGATTTACGTGATAATTGCAGAGTAGTTAGCTTATAATATTACCTTATGAAGTAATTTTGTGACCTTATATTTAGGTCACACTGTAGTCTCAGGATTCTTACAACTCAAAATAAATCTATGACTAATTCGTACAGTTTTTATTGGGTAAATACCTTGTTAATTTTTAACAATTACTTAAATTAGATTGTGGTAGTAATAGTAAAAATAACTAGTAGTTTGAAACTCTTACATTAGTCTTATGAACTGGTAAGAATTTTATTGTACCCGTTACTATTATGATAACAGATACTAGATTAAAAAATGATAATACTTTATTTCTTGCAAAGTCAGTATTCAGTAATTCGTTTATTGAATAAGTTTGACAAGGACTAAGTAATTTTTGTAGTACCTACTAATGTCACCGCCCTTCCTTAAAAAGTTATAGTTTTCGTAGTTAGTTGTATCGTTACTAGTAAAATGAATATCTCTTCTCAAGATGATGACTATGCAGCTTGATACATATTTTTTTTCTTTTAAAAGCTTTGTTTATTTGGTTGCTATTGTCGACATTTGAGGTATGAATGAGAGTGAGATACACTGTATTTTTATTTCGTATCATTTAGCCAAACTTTTAAAAATAATAATAATAGAAAAGTGTTCACTTGTAGTAATCTCATCCCTATAAGCGTTATTCGTTTCCGTAATAAATATTAATATCAATATTTATTTGATTGCTATTATATTACACGGCGCTTATGATGCATTTAATCAATAGAGAGTGATTTTACTTTATTTATACAAATCAACGTTATATTAAAAAGTTACTTAAATCTTACATCTAATTGATGCGAGTAAAACATTTCGACGACGATATAACATAATATATACACAAAAAAGTACATTCTAATTGACCACCATTTTCTTGTTAAAAATTATTAAAAACTCCGGCAAGTTTCATAATTTTATTACCCGTTATTTACCTAGTAAGTGATGGCTAATGACATGTCATAAAAAAGTCTTGGCATAATCATGATGTACAGTTAGAAGTTTTTTTGCATAACTAATGATTTATGCTTGCTATGGATAAATAGAAATTATTTTTCAAATGTACTCCATTTAAGTAATGCATGACGTTGATATATTCTGTTTACGTTTTTTCACTAGGCATATGTCGATGAGTAGAAATTTGATTATAGGAAACAAAGAAAGAAAAATATCAACAGCCAAGGTTATAACATCGGGGTTTTCAAAGCCAGAGTGAATAGGCTTTACTTTAGTTTGCCTGTAACATCGTAGAACTTGTCGTCACTTAATATCAAATGAGATTGTAATTAAACATGCACAAATTTAATATAAAAAAAGTACAAGAAGTATACGAGAGGATAATTATAGCAAAAATAAAAAAAAATAGATGACTAAGTAATAGGGTTCTTCTAATTTTATCAATCGAATTAAGAGTATATTTATATATATCAAATTGTGAAAACGTCGGAACGTAGATACATAATAATTTTTAAATTTTGTGATTAATTATTCAATAGTCAATAAGATTATTATTAAGCAATTATTGAAAATTTAGGTACATTTAAATGACGTAAAATTTCGAAAGTAAAAAAGCAATAGTGATAGGTGCAAAATCTAAAGCGATAGATTTATGTGTAACTCGTTCAGTGATTAAGGTTTTAGTTCGCTAGCAGGACACATTTTGAATAATCGATATGGGATAATAATGTCAATTGTACCGCCAAAAAAATTCTCTGCTTTCAGTTCATCGATAGAGAATGTCTTTAGGCATTGTGTCTACTTTGAGTACTTTTGTTATGTACAAGGAAGTAAATAAAAATAAATGAATATTGAAAATTAATCAAATGTTTTTTAAAATAGATATTTTCGAATTAATTGTAATAATGAAAAAATTGTAAAAAAAAAATTATACTGAACTATTTAGTAACAGACACGAGTCAATCTAAGTTTCATAAATTTTTGTTCGAGTGTATTATTTTCTTGCGAAATAGGCATCTAATTAAAATAATAATACTTAGTTGAGCAAGACAATACGCAATGCATTTTATTTATTTATATTTAACGATATACGTAATACTATCACAATTTTAGCCATTTTCCGTCCACTGCAGGACATAAGCCTCCCCCATAGACTACCATAAAGAACGGTCCTGAGCCACCTGCATCCACTGACTCCCCGCAATGCATTTCAGATCACTTCATCTAATGGGGTGTCGTCCTAAAATAAAAAAAAATTCCAAAAGATAATTGTTTACTAATATAATAAGATAAGTGTTTATTATTATTTACGATACTTATTTTGAATGCCGATCTTTTTATTCTAAAACATTTGTATATTAAAATATTTTAATATCTATTTATTTATTTACAATATCGCATAGGTGTGAATAATTAATTATAAGGATTGACATTTAGGTTTATATTTCATTTATAAATATGTATCGAAATAGAAAACCTAAAAAATAATTTTAATTATTAATGTGTGCGTATTAGCATTGATGTCTAACTTTGTTAATATTGTAAGTGTGATTGTCACTTCTTAGGACTTTTATAGCTTAAACAATTATCGTGAAATTTGATACGCATATAGTAGTTACAGTACCATGAAGAAGTGTATAGGCTATGGTCAATCAATATGTCCTGGTCACGCGGAATGCGGGTGAAGCCACGAGGTTCGTAAATAATGTATATATAAATATAGCCTTGTATAGTTGTAAAATGAAAGTAAGCAGTTAATAAATGCTATAGGTATAACGATTTCGCTAAAACAGGTAGTTAAATTAGTCATACACTATCTAAAAGGTTGAATAGATATTATATTACAATGTGACTTAACATAAGATGTGTATTTCATTTTGTTATGCTCATGTTGTAAAATTATTACATTTTCTATTGTCAGTATTTAAATTATATAGCAATTTGTTTTCTTTTTTTTATGTGGCTATCTCACGATGTGTGGTTTCGTAGACTATTTAGGTATATGTAACAATACCTACGCGGTAAATATTATTTCTTGTTACACTCAAATTACATGCAACCGCGACCTTAAGTGTGTTTGGCTATTACGTAATGTTGGTACGGTATTTAAAATATGCAAGTAAGTGTATACTGTGCGTACACAGTTAATTACATATTGTGATAGTGGTTATTTATTTCTATTTGTAAGGAAAAATTAGCTATATTTATAAATATATAACTATTCAGATTCATAAACGAATAAAAATATTCATCATCTATAGTTAGCAATTTTGTTATATTTTCACTTAGATAATTGAAGATTGTCCCACAAAAAAAGAAACTGCCGTAGATTGCAATCGCAATCAATGGCAGTTTCTGGTTTAATCAAACCAGTTATTTTGATTTAAAAATTAAACTACTGAAACAGTTTTGATAAAAATTCTTCCAGACCAAACTGTAAATATATCCTTTTGGATAAAAAAAAAAAAAACAATTTTCCAAATCAGTTTGGAACTGACGATGTTATGAGGTAACAAACATAAAAAAATAGAACCAAATTGAGAACCTCCTTCTATTTAAAGTCAGTCGAAAATAATAGAATTTGCTTGGCTTGCAAAATATGTATATAAATATTTAAAGTTGCATTCAATTTTGTACCTCTTATTATTCTGTATTGGGTACGTGTTTTTAAAATTAGGTTTAGTTACTTAATGTAATTAAACCTAATTATTAGATTAGGTTTAAATTTACAAATGTCATTCTTTACCGCTGTATGTTAAGCTATTTTTATAAATGCGTTTAACTCTTTTGTTGAGTTGAATTCGTGTTTATGTTTGTTAGTAATTATGTACATCATAATCACCTATTTATATATACACTATAATATATAATGAATTTTTACATCTGTTTTAATGCAATAAAAGTATGTATTTATTTAAATATTATTAAAATATACACATAATTAAGAGTACGCACGAGATATGACCTTGATAATTTAAGATTTTGTTCCACAGAAAAACGGCTACTTCAATCAAGGTAAATTTAATATGCCATCAACGCGGGAGTAAATTTATTATACTATATATATATATATATATATATATATATATATATATATATATATATATTTAAAATTTTATTTTAAATCGATTTTTTCGATAGAAGTAGCTT